CGGGCTGATCCGTGATGTACATGAGATTTGATAATTTATGTTTTGGCTTTTTGTCAAAACTGAACAATTTACTCCAAACAGTACGCGTTTTTTCGCCCAAACTACTGCGAATTATAAACGGATTGTATTTTTAGAATGAGACTATCAAAACTAGAATTTTGATGTAATCAAAATATTTTTCTGAGAACTTTTATATTTTTTAATGTCTGGGTCTGGTCTCAGTCATAAATTAATTTAATAATATGAATGAGATAAAAAATATATAAATTAAATCCAAATGATTAATATGATGTTGTCAAGTGTCAAGGATTATGATTTCTAATCTTATGAAATCACTTTTGAATTGAGTTTAATTTATGGGTCAAAGTTATAAATTTTAATATTTAAAATCGTCATAGCTTGAAATCTATAAATCAAATTGATTCATAAAATATACCGTTGGATTCGTCTTTTCGAGACATATCCATAAAAATAAGTTTTTAACAAAAGGTCATTATTTTGAAAATCCATTTATTTTTGGTCAAACGTATAAATGTTCCTTATTGGACCAAAATGATATTCAAAACTACTTTTGTTTTATAATAAATTTTAGGCCATATTTTGTGGCATTACATTTCTTCCCCCCCTTAAAGGAATTTCCTCCCCGAAATTTCCTTAGGTGAAGTCATTTAAAATGATGAGGTACAAAATCGTGAATATCCATTTTTGTAAAACACTAATTTTGAGAAGTTGTTTTCTCTTTCTTTTGTTGAGTGTCATGACTATGACATGTTCTCTTTCGAGAAAAGATATACGCGGATGATAGATGTAACGTGTTTGGATTTCTTTCAAGAAGACTTGCGTCGTGTATACTTTTAGACTTCCACTTGCCATGTTGTTGGAGTTTTCAGGGGTTCTTGTATGGGTTGCATTTCGTGAATGTGGGGTAATTTACAAAATTTCTTTTTTTTCTTCTAGAATCATTCTCAGACGACCTTGTCTGGAATGTTGGTTTCACAAATTATGCTTCGTTGTGTACAAGCTAGGATGAATTCTTTCCAGGTTTGACGTTTTTACATAATTGTATTTTGGGAAATGACTATTACCATATTCATCATTCTATGTTTCTTAGATGAATACGTAATTATAGTTTCAAAACTTGAACTCTCATTAGCGATCCTTAATGGAGTTGCTCTCACTAACATAACGTCAACAAGTTGATTTCACATGGCTTGTGCATGTCTATAACTGTAAACATGCATATCACACTTATGTATAACAATAATATATTTTTTTATCACATCGTAATGATTGGATGAACTTTTTGATAACACTTGTGATTCTGTCACTGTTTTCCTTATTAAGATGATACATAGTTATTCTTGAATATTGATTTTTCTGATTGGTGATTCCAGAATTGCCTTGAAATTTTAGACTTGCTCAATAATTATGAAAGAGCTTCATGCTTGAAAATTATAATATTAGTGTATTCTTCATATCACTAATATTCTTACCTCACCCAACAGTTGCATTACTTATTATTAAACACATGATAAATTATACACGTAGATCATAATCTAATATGTTTGGGATTCTACAAACACATGCGTGGTTTCTCTTGGTGGTCCGCCCAATTGACTTGGATGGGGATCACATTCACCTTCAGTGTGGTCATATTCACCACACAAGTGACAACTTTTCCTTTTCCTCGTTCTTGGAGATGGGTCAATTTGCAAATTCTGTGTTCGTTTACGTTGAGTAGATGGTCCTACTTCTAATTCTTTTCCCTTTCGCGAGGGTTGTCTTGGTTGATCCTCTTGATTTTGTGTCATTTTCAGATCGTTCTGCTAATCGTACTAAGGCTCGAAACTTCATCAATGATGACACATTCATTATTTTTCGAATGCGTGGATTTAACCCAACTAAGAATCTCCCACTAAGTTGTTCTGTAGAAGTTTTGCAAATTCCCTCACAGTGGATTCACCTTGTGTTCTTGATGAGAACACAATTTCAGCATGATCACGATCAGCTGGCATTACTGATTATTGATTGTGATTAATGAACCATGCTTAAAAATGAATGTCTTGATTAAAATTGATGATTATGAAAATTATGTTGACTATTAAGGCTATGTAGAAGAACTCTAAGATAAATCCCTTGTAATTTGTGTAGGCCTTGCGGGTATGATGTCTGGTGGCCAGGGTTAAAACGTACATACGGAACACACAAACCAAACTTGAGTACCTACCCGTTTGGGGGTACCCAAACTTAAGAGCCAGTTATTTATATTTTCCTTAAACTAAGAGTAGTTAAGAGCTCTGTTATCAATATGAATTTGGCCTTATACTAAAAATAAGTTAAGAGTATTGTTATGAAGTTGGTCTTAGACTAAGAATAGGTTAAGAACACTGTTGACATTATGAATATTGAATTGAATATTATGTGCATGATATAAAATCATTTGATTATGAATTGAGATTCAATTTATATGGATGTTCGATGCATTAGATATCCTTACTCAGCTTCACCGCTGAGCGTGTAGTATGTTTTATTTAATTGCTACACGCAAGAAAATAGAAAGAATGATGTGGCATGATCCTGGCGGTAGAAGGGAGTGAGGTTGTCGGGATGGACGTGATGGTTTTGAATTGTTATATCAAAAGACATGAATTAATTATATTTTGTGATTTGTTAAGCTTCCGTAACATTGAAAACTCCGTACTATTTCTATTATGAATATTATTTTGAGGTGAATAAAAGTGCTTGAAATGTTTTAAATTTTACGATTACCAAGTTAATATTCTAGTCCAAAAGAGATTGCAAACCTGGACGAATTAGGGTGTTACAACAGATATCTTGCAAAAACTGATAAACTGCATGTTTTTTATTAAGATGTCCCTACGTGACCTACTAGAAAATTTTATTTCTATGAGATGCCCCGCAGGGACAAATAAACTGCATGTCTTTAAAATGTCCTTACGGGACCTACTAGAAGAATATATTGCTTTAAGATGTCCCTAAGGGACAAACGTTTTAGGCAAATATGCGTTAAAATGAACGTTTTAAATCATTTTTATGTTATTAAATCCAAATCATTTTTCAATGATAAAAATGAGATGAGATAGAATATGTAGATTATATTATTTTAAGGTAAAAAACATCAATGCTTTATAAATTTCGAAAGACTTATTTATAGACTACATTATAGGCTATTATAATAAGAAGGGTTAAATTTTTATGAAAATGGTGTATAATTATTCTTACCATAAATATTATTTTTTTTTGTGAAATTAGGCATATAATTGTATAACTTACCTTTTTTTAATTATTTCCAATTAATATTACTCATGTTAATTATTATAACTTACCCTTTTTAATTATTCCCAATTATTGTTTTTTGCGAAATTGGGTGTATAATTGTATAACTTACCTTTTTTAATTATTTCCAATTATTTTTTTTTGCGAAATTGGGTATATAATTGTATAACTTACAATCTTATAACTTACATTTTTTTAATTATTTCCAATTTTCAATACGTTAATTATTATAAAAATAATAATTATAACTTTACAATTTCGGTCACTTACCATTATAAATTCACAATTATTAACTTACCTTTCGGCCATTTTAATTTACCTTTCTTTAATGATTATAATTTATAAATATAATAATTATAATAATTATCACTATAAATTCGGCCACTTACCTTTTTAATTTCAGAATTGCCATTTGTAATTATATTACCCACGTTAATTGTTATAAAAATAATAGCTATATTAACTTCACACTAACACAAAAAAAAGGTTAAAAATGACAGTTACTTATTCTTAGCATATAATACGTTGATTCCATTTTTATTAAAAACTTACGCTTTGCAATTTTATAACCTACCTTTTTTAATTATTTCCAATTTTCAATACGTTAATTATTATAAATATAATAATTATAACTTTACAATTATTAACTTACCTTTCGGCCAATTTAACTTACCTTTCTTTAATTATTATAAATATAATAATTATAATAATTATTACTATAATTTCGGCCAATTACCATTTTAACTTCACAACTGCCATTTGTAATTGTCTTACTTTTTTGGCGGGAAAACCATATATTGACTTCATGTCTTTTTAAATAAAGTATGGATAGAGGCCATAAAGAGCGGGTTTTCATGGCTGGAAACAGCCAACAAGTGGCAAAGCCAGGGGTAAATAAGCGTGTATCAAAACACGCGTTTGAACGCGCTTTAGAAGCCTTAGAGAGGCTTTCCCTCTACCGAGAACTCCCTCTACCAAGAATGAGTGACCGGTCGAATGAGTTGAACGTCGTAGTGAAACGAATGAGTTTATCAATACCGAGAAGTTTATCAATTCCGAGAAGGATTGAAACGAATCTTCAAAGCTGCTACGTACCTCTCTAGAGCTGCTACGTACCTCTCTAGAGCTGCTACGTACCTCTCTAGAGCTACTATGTACCTCTCTCAATACAAGTATCACCATTGTAGGAAATTATATACGAAGGACTAAATAAGGAATAATTTTCAAATATAAATGACCACGTAGGTAATTAGAATTTATAAACAACTGAATTAGTAAAATACCTTATTACAAAGGATCATTTTGATAATTTACTCATTTTTTTAAATAAGATAGGACTACAATATGTCGAGTTCCGATATGATAATTGTAAAGCCATAACACACACACATGTAGCCAAAGAAAGATGCATATATATATATATATATATATATAGAAGATGGACACATCCAAATCCAATGCATGCATGTATATGCATCATGATCGAGTTGGATTCTTGAACTAACTAATATAATGTGTATCCAACTAACTAAGGGGTGTAGAGGGTGGGCCCACACTTGCATTTCCAGCCTTCAGGTTCATAGTTAGTGTACAGAACAGTAGTGCCCACACCTCCTCCTAAATGGGCGGTTGTAGTTGGGACTTGTATGGCTACACAAGGCTTGCACCCACTGCATTTGTGCTCACATCTTGGTGCAAATGACCCTATTCTCCTCAACTCCTCCAACTTCTTCTCCCCATCCTACCTTCCCAAAACCACATTTCAAACAAATTAATTAAAAAAAACATCTTTCTTTAATTATTATCATCATCACTGTATGTATGTATATTGTATGTATGTATGTATGTATGTACGTATGTGTACCTGAGGAAGAGTGGTGGCATTGGTGGGAGCAATGGGTCTGCTGGTTGCTGCATTAGGGAAGGCTAAGGTGAGGAGGAGAAATGGAATTATAATAAAAATAATAATGCAGTAAAAACTGCCAACTTTCATTATTATTCTTCTTTTTTTTTTCTTCTGAGGAATTGAAAGAGAAAAGGAACCGAGTGAGCTCTGCTGAGAAGGGAAGGTGAGAAGAGTGAGTGAGAGTTAGAGGGTAGCTAGAGATTGTTTGGGTTTGGGGTGGGGGGGGGGGTTATTTATAGAAGGAAACCTGGTTGGTAAATTTGGGTTTCAGCTAGCTAAACCTTGGTTCATACTGTCGCTAAAAATCAACCAAATAAATATATAAGAAATTGTTGNATTGAAAGAGAAAAGGAACCGAGTGAGCTCTGCTGAGAAGGGAAGGTGAGAAGAGTGAGTGAGAGTTAGAGGGTAGCTAGAGATTGTTTGGGTTTGGGGTGGGGGGGGGGGTTATTTATAGAAGGAAACCTGGTTGGTAAATTTGGGTTTCAGCTAGCTAAACCTTGGTTCATACTGTCGCTAAAAATCAACCAAATAAATATATAAGAAATTGTTGTTGTTTGAGGTGTTATGTTATAAATTTAGAGATATAATGTCATCGTATGTTCATCAAATCATATATAAATTCATTTTTAAATTATTGTTCGAAGAAACTGAAAGAAATTAAAAAAAGTTGAAAGTCAAATTTTTTAACCCAAAGAGAATAGAGCCTTAAACAGGAAAGTCCAAAAAAAACAGGTCCCATTTCCCAAGGCATTAAGCTAAAGCCTATGCTTGCGTCCCATCAAATCACTCAGTATTGAGTAGTAGTGTACTATTGTTGTGTATGAAGCTAAGCCAAAGGAAACTGCTTCTCCAAGAATTTCCTCTCTGATAATAAAGTGAACCAATTCAAGTCCAGGACAGGCCATCTTTTCTTCTCCAGCAAGTGATTCTATTTCTTCCTAATATCTTCTCAGTAGTATGTATAGTACTTCTCACTGAATAACTCTGCAACTTAACTCATTCAATTAGATTTTGTATTGGAAAGAAAATCACAATCTTTTTTTTTTTTTAAAGATTATGTGATTGTATTGGAATGATTCAAATCATGTTGGGGATTTATTTGGAATTCCAAATTGAATTTTAAATAAATGGACACAACTTTTTGAAGAGACATGTTAACTTGTTAAACTGCATCTCACATCGGAAGTTCATGAGTAAAATAATCGATATATGAGCTCTTGAGTTGAACTAATGATCCATAATCCATTCTAAATTCTATCATAACTCTTATATATATGACCTAGTTCTTGAATATTCATTTTGAATTCAAATTAGAAGTTTTTTAAATAATGAATGTGTGTTTCTCTTACTAAAGAGACATGACTATTAATAAAAGTGCCTGCTCTCACTTTTTTTAATAGTGCCCTTGCCACAATGTGGACTAGGAAAAAGTGCTAGAAAAATATAGATATGTGCATAAATATTATTAATAAGTATTTAATTGATAATAATATAGAATGATGAAGAAATAATTTACTCTGTAATATTTAATAATTAATTATTCAGAGTTTATTCTACAATAATGAAATATTAATTAATGATGGTATGTACATCAATATTAATTACTCCGTATTATTTAATGAATTGTCTAGAATGTTGAAAAAATAATTTATTACTCCGTATTATCTATTCAAATTTTAATTAATACTAACTCCAATTTTATGAATTATTTTCATGTTGGTTTTTCCTCATGTCCAGAGATAACTCTTGCTAAAATACATTAACAAATTGTATCAAAGAAACAACAACAACAACAACCCAGTTGAATCCCACAACAATAGGGTAGGGAGGCTGTTTCCAAGAGACCCCCGGCTCCACCTGCACAAAAATATGGAAGAGAACACAGTATAGCACAGATAAGGCACCAAGTACAAGCAACAAGTACAAAAAATAGCAAAAGATTCCCAACAAATACAACACACTACAAAACAACCTCTACAACACCGAGCTCCTATCCAGCTACTCTAATCCTAGTTCTCCAAAGGTTCCTATCTAGGGCCATATCCTGAGTCAGGTCGAGAAGTCCTAAATCCTGTCTTATCACCTCCTCCCAATTCTTCTTAGGTCTACCCCTTCCCCTACTTCCCCCGATAACTGTAATCCTCTCGCATCTCCGTACAGGGGCGTCAGCATCCCGCCGTCTCACATGGCCAAGCCACCTCAACCTCGCTTCCCGCAACTTGTCTTCGACCGGTGCCATACCTACTTGACGTCGGATAACCTCATTCGAAATCCTATCCAACCTTGTCTTCTCGCACATCCATCGTAACATCCGCATCTCCGCCGCATGCAGGCGACGCACATGAGTCTTCTTAACCGCCCAACACTCTGCCCCATATAACATAGCAGGTCTGACTACGGATCGATAGAACTTACCTTTCATTCTAGGCGAAATCTTCGGATCACACAACACCCCTGAAGCTAACCGCCATTTGGCCCAAGCCACTCCAACCCGATGTCCAACATCCGCATCTAACTCCCCATCTGCCTGAATTACCGAGCCAAGATAACGAAACCTGTCTACCTTAGGTACTAGGTGAGAGTCAATCTTGACTTCTACCTCTGATTCTGTATCCCGGCCACTGAAACGACATTCCATGTATTCAGTCTTGTTCCTACTTATTCTGAATCCTTTAGTCTCAAGGGCAAGGCGCCATAATTCCAACTTTTCGTTTAGTCCCTCACGCGTGTCGTCGATAAGCACAATATCATCCGCGAAAAGCATGCACCATGGGACCCCGTCTTGAACACCTTGAGTTAGGACGTCCATCACCAAGGCGAACAAAAAAGGGCTAAGAGCAGACCCTTGGTGCAACCCCATCCCTAACTACCGAATAATTTGGTTTCCTTCGTTGTTTTCCAAATCCTTTATCTTGAAACTCTTGTTGCTTATAATTGAGTAGGTAAGAAACTTTTATATAAGTGTTTTTATTGATAAAAGTTTATCTGATTAACGTTGTTTTGAACTACGTGTAGCTTAATTCCCCTCTATTGGATACGCTGGAGGTGCAAATTAGAATGTTTTATTTTTCTAAATGAAGACTAGAGATTATAACGATAAGGGTAAAACTAAATCCACCTAACTATTAATGACTAAATCTACAATCTTCATTTGAAATTGCAAAATGCAAACTCTAAATGGCTAATATAATAAAAGAATGAGTCTCATCCTCGAGAGCCAACTTAGAATCTGCCGTTTAGTCACTTGAGATGGGCTTTTTAAAAACATTGAATGGTCATTTTTTTATACTAGCAGTCCACCAAGTCCACCACATTCTTGTGTCACTACAAGAAACCCCAACCTCCGGGTTAGACTTACGGATTAGTACACACAGCTTGCTCCTATTCGTTTGGTCATACATCAATTAGGGCTGAGATATTTTGAAAGTATATTGCGAAATTTACCTATATAGTACTAAAAATACTCTCTCCGTTCCACAAAACACTTCCGTTTTAATTTTTTGCGCAGCCCATAAAATACTTCTATCCCACCTAAAATGTCTAAAATACCCCTAAAACAACTTCTACCCGCAATAAACTGCATAGTGGGGTATATTTTAGATATTTTAGGTGGGAGTAAAAGTGTTTAATGATGTGAGCAAAAATTTAGGGCGGAAGGGTTTTAAGGAACGGAGGGAGTAGTTAATTTACTAATGTAATACCATATGTTTTAATTTTCCAATATAGTATCACTGTTCAATATTCACCGGACATATTCAAGTAAATGTCCACCGCAATTAGACATTATTCAAAGTAAATATCCACCGTCAATTGATATTGTTCCCAACATTGAACATTTTTTTAAAATTTTATTTAAGAAATAAAAAGTATGAAGTATTACATTAGGAGAAGACATGTTTTGGTACTCGTACTATTTAGTACCGATTTTACAATTGTATTTGGAAGTGTCGATTGCAAAAAGTAGGGTACAAATATCATTTTTCTTAACTAATGACTCCAATATCTAGATTTGAGTTAAAATTACTAGTGCATTCACACTTAGGATAAAATTAAAACGAAAAAAATGGACCATAGTACATTTGGGTAAGAGTGGTGGCTTTAACCATTTATGATGTGAAAGTCCTTGCAAAATCTCACACTCTCTCCGGTTATTGACATTTCCCTTTTGACTATCACATTCATTTGCATAAAAAACATGACCTTTGATTGTTTGACATAAACCTATGGATTAGAGGTGTATTAGGAGGAAGAAGTTAGTATGCGCCTAGACTGCCGAGCTCCTCTTTGTTTGACAGTCATCATTCCAAAAGTAGAGGAAAATTAATTGTGGTCCTTTTTGTTCCATGTTTTTTTTGTTGCAACTATGTTTTATTTTACCTCACTTGGTATGCAATAATTTAACAACCGGGTAGTAACCCAAAGAGATGATCAGTATTTTAATAGTTCACAATGATACAAAATATTAGAAGAGGACAAAGATCTCGAAATCGTTGTTCCGACTCGAAATATTATGATTCCGTCACTGTAATTTTCTATTTTGTTAGGAATGATAAAATTTTGTCCCAAATTTGTTCCGAACCATTTCAAAATGGGACAAAACTAGGGCACATAAATATCTTCTCGTTGTCCCGTTTGTATGTAATGATATACCACAAAAAATATCAAAATTTTTATTTTACCCAAAATAGATCTAAAAATATCCATATTTGAATATTAAAAAAATGGACTAGGAACGGAACACCTAAAAATACAGATTGTTCTATCCCGATTCACCCTAATTTGTGGCTCATAGTTTTTATGAAACTTATAATCTTGACTTTTGAATGTTGTAACTTTTTTTTCATATTTGCTTATTGTTTTGGCCTTTTTAAAACATTCTAAATAAATACATCATTTTTTTCATTACTTTGCAAGTCAAAATGGGTTCCCTCCCAGTTATGTATTTTATATTTTTATATCTAGTTTTAGATAATGACAAAGTATAAAAACTTGAACCCGTCCCGTGTTATCCAGATCCCGAATATTTAGAGACAAAGAGGGATAAACTTGTGGCCCGAAGCGTTTTAATAAACGGGATAAAATGCAGGACGGTATAAAATTCAAACTGTCCTGACTCGTGCCCACTACCCCTACAAAATGTCAGTTCAATCAAAGTAATTTGCACTTACATTTTGTGTCATTGTAAACTATAACACTAGCGTTACACTAGCACTGAAAGTTAGTGCATGCCTTCGGGGTACAAAGTAGAGTATAATTTTTGGGGTTCACATAGTTTAATTCATAATTTAAACACATCTTATTTTTAATCACACAAATTGAACCAGTACCACCTCCTTCTCCTTTGAATCATTCCATTTGACTTTTCAAAGTCTTTAATGTAATGTTTTAACTATTAATATCTTTATTTATAAATTGACATATATTGAAAAGATATAATATTTCAAAACAATGTTTTAAAATTGACCCTGAAAGTCTAATTGAGAAGATTTAAAATGGACAGAGGGAGTACAATTTGTGATATGATACATCATTGAGAAGATTCAAAATGGACAGATGGAGTATAATTCGTGATATGATACAACATTTCATAGATTGTAAAAACAATTTTTCCCTGGTGTGACAATAAATGATTGTCTAGGATACCGTACTACTTAATGTGCATAGAGATGTAAATCGGTCGGTTGGTCAAATTTGGGTTCCGTTACTTTAGATTCAGGTAACATCATTTTGGTAACTTTGGGTTTGGCTTGAGAACTACATCATGTTCATGATCCAATGTCTTCCGGTTCACATCGATCCAACGGGTTATAAGATTTATTTTTAGAATATTTGAATTCATAATATAGCACCATGCATTTTGCACTAAAAATAAAAAAGTCAAAAAATATCAAAATACATATATTAAATATCTTAAAATATGTTATTTTGAATTTGAAATTACATTTTAGATACATTTAACAATGTTATGAATAATATAAAAAATTAGATATGTATCACTTACAAAAAATGTAAGATACCTTATGTGATATCATTAAAAATTTGTTTCAAAATATAAGTTTATGCGCAAAAAATGAATAATCAGAAAAAATAAAAACCTAAGTTTATTTTTATTACATCATTTTATATATTAAAGTACATAATTTTGAAAAACTCTTAAATTAGCAGGTTAGTTAGGTTAGGTTAGAGAAGAGCACGGAGATTGGGACCAAAAGAATTGACCCGAATAGATTGATATCAAACCGGGAAACAGTGGAACCAAAGTGATCTTTAGGAATTAGGACTAGTCCGATCTCAGACCGCTAGTACATTTGATTCTCTTAATTGAGGGAAAGACTAGACCTGTCCCGAACTAGTGATCTTTTAAAAAATGACTAATTCGGGATTAGACTAAAACTAGTTCAAATAACAAATTCAAATGTATAAGTTTATACTTAAAATAATTGTTTGTTGTATTTAACATCTATGTTAGAAAAATATATTTACGCATGAATACTTTATAAAATCAACAACGTGTAGTAACTGAAGAAAAATTAGATTAAAAAATACTTCATCTATTTTTAAAAGATTGCCACAGTTTGACTTTCTTGGTCAAACTGTGCCACCCTTTGACCACGAGTTAAATATAATTTATAATAATTAGATATTATAAAAATTTGATATTTCAAAACTATATTTTGATATAAACCCAATTTTATCAAATTTACATTATAACTAAATATATATTTTTCATAATTCACGATCAAATAGTGCCACAGTTTGACAAACTGTGACAATCTTTTAAGGGCGGAAGAAGTAATAACTATGCTTTTTGGTTATCTAAAAAACTAAAAATTAACGTTTTAAAAATCATATAAAATCGAGACTTAACCAGATTTGGACCGGTCCTAGGCATGCTACCCAGTCCAAAAAAGTCTCTGTTTTTTAACAAATACCAAACTAGTCCGGTCCAATTTTAAAAAATGACCGGACCAATCTTGTCCTAAATAGTACTGGTCTTTCTAAAAGACTAGTCCAATCCGACCGGTGGGGTCCTTTTGATCATCTCTAAGTTAGGTGTGAGTTCAATCGGTATTGACCTATGTTTAGCAGCTCATTTCGAGCTCAATCATCTTCAAGTTTGGTCAGTAATACATTTGTTAAAAATCCAATATTTTTGAGTCGATTCTCGGATAAAAAACATTTACCACTTTTTGCACGTCTTATCTGCACGAAATGATGTACAAAATAGGTTTGTTTGTAGTAAAATTTGCACTAAATAGGACTAAAACATAATGACTTTCCCAATGTAGAACTTAAACTTTTTTATTCCCTAAATAGGACTTAATAATGACCTAGTGGGAGGAATAATGTCCAGTAATGATGGACATTTACTTGAATAATGACTACTTGATAATGACCAAAACGCCTACATTGAGAAATAAAAACATATGGTCCTATATTGGAAAAGTTGTTATGTTTTAGTCCTATTTAGGTAAATTTCTCTTAATTTATTACACATGGTACATTATAATTCATAAATATTTATTACTTTCTAGATGCTACTATTACATTTAACATTTACCTTTTGTGATTGAAGACCGTTTAGGCGGAAAAATGCAAAGGGAAATTTTCTTCTTTTTAAATATAGTATAGATTATACTTCTAAAAATACTCGAGAGATTTATTTACCGTTACATTTTGCATAAATATAAGTGGAGATTGATAGTTTACAATTTGTAGGTGTTTTTTTAATGGCAATTGCATATATATAAAATCAATTTTTATCAAATTATAATAGAAGGGAGGAATCTATAGGGGCCAAATTTGGGAAGAGCTTATTGACACCAAGGTTCAAGAATTGAATAAAAAAAAGAGAAATTTATCTAAATAGGACTAAAACATAATAACTTTCCCAATATAGGACCATATGTTTTTATTTCTCAATGTAGGCCTT